AAATAAATAAATAAATAAATATTACAATTGTCAGACAAGCAAACGAACAATATCAATAATAATACCAATTATAATAATAATAATAATAAGAAGAAGAAGAAGAAGAAGAAGAAGAAGAAGGAGAAGAAGAAATTTGTGGACCACCTCGGGTCCCTTCCCACTCGCGTGAGACCTGCCTGCATCCCCCCAGGCCCGGAGGGCAAGGAGATCACAGGTCATGGCCTAACAGGCGCGACCCAGCAGGGACCTGAGCAGAAAATAACAACTGTAAATGTAAGTATATAAATAAATAAGTATAAATATTAATAATAATAATAGACAATGACAATAATATTCATCACAATATTTGTAGTAATATGTAGTAAAAAAAAATAAAAATAAAAAAATATAAAAAAATACTATAAAAAAATAAAAAATAAAATAATAATAATAATAATAATAATAATAATAATAATAATAATAATAAATAGATACATAAATAAAATAAAAAATTGGGAATGAAAGTGTCAGAGAACTGAGATGGATGATGTTGTGACTGGTTTGTGGCAGATTATGATTGTAGAAAAGTGATGAATGATAACCAGGTAGAGTTATGATTATTGTCAGAGGAGTTTGTATTTTCTAAGGAGATGTAGTCTATGAACAGGTTTTTCCAGTGTATGATGTGTATGGAGTTCCGAGACTTCCAGTTCATGAAGATAGTTTTCCTGGCGACGGTTAGTGCCACTAGAAGTGAACGTGTGTGTGTTTTGTCAAGTTTTAATGTAGATAGGTCTCCTAATAAACAGAGGGAAGGGGAAAGTGGGATGTGGCAGCCCATGATCTGTGATAATGTTTCTGTAATGTTTCTCCAGAAGTGGTGAACAGGTGTGCAGTGCCAGGTCGCATGAATATAGGTATCAGTGCAGTTTAGTGAGCAGTGTGAACAGTTTCCAGATGATGAGAAGCCCATTTTTTTGCATTTTGTGTCCAGTCAGATGAGTTCTATGAAGGATTTTCTATTGTATGAGTTGTAAATTGGCATTTTTCGTCATGGAGAAAATGTTCTTGCAGATTTGGGGCCAGAAGTCAGCATCAGGAGCAATGGAGAGGTCAGTTTCCCATTTTTCTGAAGGTATGGAGGGTGTTGAATCGGCCTGTGAAAATAATGTATATATTTTAGATAGAAGTTTCTTTGAGGAAGGGATGTTAATGAATTTAGAGGGTAACGGGGGGCGGTCTAAGTTTATATTCTTGTTTTTCATTGTTGATTGGATGGATGATGAAACCTGTAGATATTGTAAGAATTGATGGCTCCTGATGTCAAACTTCTGGACCAGGAGAGAGAATGGGACCAGGGTGTTATTGTTGAAGATATGTTTGAGGTGAGTAATCCCTTTCTCTACCCAGGTGCTGAAGTATAGTGATTGTTTATTGCTGATGAAGTCCAGGTTGTGCCAGATCGGGGTGAAAAGCCATGGAGTTAGTAATGCTGTAGAATATCCACCAGGCTGTCAGGGCTGATGATATTGTGGGGTTTTGGAAACAGGGGTGATTTTTGATAGTTTGACTAAGGAATGGTAGGTCTGAGAGATGGATGTTTTTGCTAACTATTTGTTCTATGTCTAACCAAGTGCTATCTGACTGGGTGGGGTGGGTCCATTTGTAGATGTATTGAAGTTGATTTGCTAGTGAGTAATAATGAAAATTTGGAGCATTGAGTCCGCCTAAACTTTTTGATTTTTGAAGAGTGGCCAGTTTGATTCGTGGGGGTTTATTTTTCCAGTAAAATTTGTTGATGGATGAATCGAGGGAATGAAACCAGGTGAGAGGTGGATGAGTGGGAATCATTGAACAAAGGTAACTGATTTTGGGGAGGATTGTCATTTTAACTGTTGCTATTCGGCCTATAATAGATAATGGGAGGTTCATCCATCATTGGAGGTCGTCATTGAGTGTTTTTAGGAGTGGAGTGAAATTCAGGTTGATCAACTCTGACAGCCTGGGGGAAATGTGGATGCCTAAGTAGGTGATGTCACTTGTGCAGAAGGGGATGGGTGTTGTAAGGGCTGCCACAGCCAGACTGTTTGTGTTTAATGAGGGTATGGAGGATTTGTTCCAGTTTATTGAGTAGTCAGAGAGACTACTGGCTGCCAGGTTTTGTCTACGGCAAATAGAAGGGGTGCTTGGGCTGGGGGTCAGATATCACCACCTGGATCAAGGAGATACATAGCAAGTGGAAGGAGAAGGACATGGACAGTGTGGTGAACCTTATGCCCACTCAGACAAAGATCAAATGGTTGAAATGGGCCTTTGGTTTTATATTGATCTTCTCTCTCACCATGCTTTTCTGGACTAACAGGTAGGTGAAAATACTGGTCTGTCCTGAGTCAGCACGACAGTAATTCAAATTTTAAAGCTTTAGTAAACCAAGTTAAATTGATGTTTTCCATTATTCAAATATCTTTTATCTACTAACATTTTTTTCTGCAGTGACATCCTTATTTTAACTTCTAAAACACAGGTAAAAGACCTGATATGTAGTGTTACTAAATTACTTTTATTCATTTTTGGCATCAGTGGATAGGTCAAGAAACAGGGGAGAGGGCAAGAAATGACATGCAGGAAAAGGGGCCACATGGTGTATGTGGGACACTCTACATCACTAAGCTACTGGCTAAGCTATTCTTTTTTTTTTTTTTTAAGTCATTCGAAAATCAAATTTTATTTAGAAATGAAATCCTGTAAAAATAATGTTATATTTCATCTCCAGACCACTGCAACCTAAAATAGAACAAGCAGCACTGATTATGAACAAATAGACAAGTACATGTACAAACTTGACAAGTGAAAATTTTTAATTTAATACTAATATAAATTTATCCACATCATCAGCCCCTGTGACTAAAATTTGGTTAGAGAAGACATGACCCCCTAAAATGACTGTTTGTCAAACTTTTTTGTAGATACTTTTTGTCTTGTGTTTACATTGCTCAGTTGCCCACATTGTAAAAGTAAGCTTCTATTTTGAAGCATGAGCTACTTTCTGTAGATTGGATTCACAATAAGTCTTTGAATGTCAGTTTTTATGTCTTATTCCTAACACAGTATTTTTCAAAAAGGTGGTTATCATCAATACCCTTATATTGGGACAGACATACACAGATATAAAATACATATTCTTTGCTCAACTGTCTGCTGTGGATCTGCAGCTCCTTCCTGAACATACAAGACTGGAGCCAGATCTTCCAGGAACCCTCTGTGCTTCCAGTCACAGAGCAGCCAACACTGCCTCAACAGTGTGGTCCAGGAAAATTAGGTAATACGACTGTTTGTGGCAATTGAATACTGAAGTGAGCTAAATATTTGAGGTTTTTACTCTTCTTTGACACACATCTAAAAAAAACCTGGACTGGCACACATTTGGGGTTATATGTTACCACAGGAGCAGATCTACAGAATCATTCTGCCTTTTCAAGCTTTTAGAAAAAGCTTTGGATGCTCTTTTGGCCTTACTGCAACACTCTGGCTCAGAAGAAGACTTTGGGCCTGCTGGGTGGTGTTCAGGGGTGACTTTAAAATCACGCAGATAACCAAGGAAAAAAGCCTCAATGACCAGTTGAAACTATTTTAAAAAGTGGCTTTGCAAAACTTAAAGAAAAATCTATTAAAGGCTTAATCTAGAATTGCCATGCATACAAAAAGTTAAAGTTTCACAACTTGAACAAAGACGATGTTAAAGAAAAATCTTAGCAGAAAAAAAGGAAAAAACAAGGGTGTGAAGAGTGAAAGGCAAAAGAGGAAAAAGCAAGAGGGAAAAAAAAACAGAGAGAGGTAGCACCCCAGCTTTACAGGTTTTATACTCTTCAGATTGGGAGTGTCTCTAAGTTGTGAGGAGAGAAAGGAGGGGGTCCTGAGCTCCAGCTGCAGCTTCCTTCAGAGGAGACTTTCAAGAGCCCTGATTGTTTGATCCAACTTTACTTTGGCTAGTAAAGGAGTCAGATCAAATACTCACTCACTATGATTAATGTTAAAGCATGCTTGGTTAATAATACAGGATTTGATGCTTAACATACATGAGGAATTGTAGAATCACATTAAAAACATTCTCATTATGCTATGAGTATCACTTTTCAAAAAACATTGATCATGTTAAATTACTCTGAAATGAAACAGATAGTAACACATAGAAACTGTGCACAACACAAGGGTAAACGCATGTAAATGAACATAACAGTTAATAATGGATTCTACAAACCAACATTCAGATTATTAATTAACAGTATAACTATTTACTGGTTATCATCTAAACAAATGATTAAGAGATAAACTAAATATTTCTACACTATTTCTACTAGAATAGGGTTTTGATTCAAACATAATAACTTCAGCTTTTAAAAGTTCATGAAACGGTTTGGAAAGCTGTTGATCTCAAGGAACTTTAAGACTGAAGGATTTATTCTGTCAGTGTGAGATCTTGGGCAAATGGGACAAAGACTGTTTTACTGCACATGTTGAGCACTGACAGAAGATCATGGTGTAGTGTCCAGCCAACCTGTAATTGGACTAGTTGTAGTCATTCTCTTTGGACTGTACTTACAGAGGGCAGTTCTTTCCTGCTGGCCATAAACAGTGTCTTTGTCTCTTTGAAGTAGAAAGGATAGAAAGTCTGTGTTTTGGGAAGGCTTCTTTGGTTATCTTGTATAGAGACAGGAGGTTGTAGAAGGATTGTGATTTGGTGTTAAAGGTTTACACCATCTTGTCTCCGGTGAGCAGATGTAAGTCTTATATTCTTTTGGGGGGTTTGGGATGAGAAACTGGTCATCTCTGCTACACCATCAACTGATTTATCTGACTTTTTCCCTTTGTGGGTTTTCTGCTTGATGTTGCTGTGGTGTGAACACAGAGAAATGATAACTGTGAAAGCACATGAAGAAAAGTAACTGTCAACAAAGTCAAGCACTATTACCACTTGAGCATTATAACCACTAAAGTTCACATTTTTAACTCATGCAGCTGATATGGAAAACAAGTTCTTGAAGGTGAAAGGGGCAAAGACCATGCTGGTGTCTGCTTTTTTGGATCACCGTACAACAAGAAGAGAGGTTAGTGGAGAGAACAGGGTCCATCAGGCTTGGCTTACATTTTAGTTTTGGTGTTCAGTCCTCATTCTCTTCTCCCCTTTTTGTCAGGTACGTGTGAGTGCAGTAGTGCTGAGGAAAGAGGAAGCAGCCTATCACTGTTACCTCTGCTGTGATGGGCAACTTCACCTTTCTGACGGTGTTCTAGACATCAACGGATATCACTTTTACTTTGACTACGGGGCTGCATACATCATGTGTCCTCTTCCTGCTGGCTGCAAAACAGCATCTTATATTGCTGTGGCCTCTGACCCAGCTGACTCTGAAGGTGACAAATCATGTTTATTACTTTTTGTGACAACCTGTAAGATAAGCAGTACTGAATTATTGGACAATTGTTTGTTGAGGCACACACTTTCCAGGGATGATGGACTCCAGACGGATAAATTGGCTCAAGTTGCAAAAATGTTGCTTGATTCACTTTCACTTGGTATCCATGACCTGGGACTTGATTTAAACTTGAGACACAAAGTAGTTGACTTTCTATGATTTATTCTTTGGTGGCATAGTTTAGCATTCAAGATGGCAGCATGTCTGTGTGTTTGAGAAAGACATCACAGCATTTACACTGGCTGCATGTTAGCTGCATAACAGTTGTGGGAGTTAATGATATCAACTTTGTATCTTTTTTTTTTAAGTTTAACCCCAAATAAGATCGTGAACTACCCATTATTAAAAATGTTTTTGATTTGAAAAGTCATCTGGATCTGAAGAAATATGTGATCAACTATAGTTTGTGTTCATTGCAAGGTTAAAATAAACCTTTAATCACTTTTAACTTAACAGGTCATTTGACACGCAATACCATTTCAAAGATTGGACACAGTTTCTCATTTAATGGATTTCTCTAATTTTCATTTTTTTCTATATAGTAGATTAGACATCAAAAATATGAAGAACAGCTATAGAATTATGTTGTCAACAAAAATAGTTCAACAAACTGGTATAATAAATTAAAATAAGGAAATCAATCGAATGAAAAGGTGGGTCCAAACTTTTGACTGGTACTGACTTGGTATCTTGTCTATCTTTTTTTCTTTTCTGTTGTAACTTAAAGATGTGAAAGAGTTTCTTGAGGTGAAGAACCAGGAAGCAGTAAATGACTCCTTTCCTTACAACTTCACCGTCTGCATGTCTACTATGTTTGAGTTTGACAACATGCTACAGGTACTGTCTGTTATGCTAACTGCCTTTATTTTCAAAAATGTCCAAACTTGAAGCCTTTTTTATTTTTTTTTAAGTACAGGCAGTGTTGTGTGTGAAGACCTTCAAATGGACATATATTTAGTGAATAGGCTCAGGTTACTGAAATAGTGATCGGAACTTCCCAACCCTGTGCTACAGTAGCCAAAGATGGATTTACAGTACCCAGCAGGCATTGAGCACAGCTAAAGCAACCAGTAATGCAGATGAAGCTGATGGGGCCAACCCCTGTAAACAATTGAAAAAGTTTAATGAACAAATTACAATGAGCTGAACACTTGTTTGGTTTTACAGAGGTGTGACTTTCTGGAATCAAGTCAAGTAATCTCACCGCAGAACTTTTGTTTTATTCAAGCTGATCCAGAGTTTGGAGATGAATCAGTTACTGGGAGTGAACAAAGTTGCCATCTACAAGACCAGCCACAGCCCTGAAATAAAGCATTTACTCAACTACTACATAAAAAAAGGTGAGGCATGGAGGACGTGGAGGATTTTTTGTCAAAGGTAAAAGCTGGGGCTGTCACTTTTCACCTGAAATCTAAACCATCATTCAAACTCTACGGGAAAAATGTATATTTGAACTATATGACCCATTCAAACTCTTAATAATTCAGTAGACCAGCACATCAGGCCACCTGTGTAGCTCTCTTTATGATCCAGTGAAAGTTGCTCTCATTATTACCTGGCCTACCCATGCACCTTTGACCTTAGTAAACTAATACAATAATGTTACTGTACAAAAATGGAGGAGGTGGTCAAGCAAAGCTGCATTGAGTAGACTGTCATGACACAGAAACATTTGAGAAGCGCAGTATAGAAGCATTGCCATCACTCTTTGAATTTTAGTGTCACATATTTTTTATTTAATGTCCCTGTCATAATTTCAATCCCAAATACCATAAATTTAGTTTTCTCTAAATTAACTAACAATCTATTCACATTAAACCAAGTTTTGAGGCTCTTCAGTTCTCATTCAAAAAGATGACAAAAAATTCTCATTTTTTCCTAAAACTCTGTGTGCTTGATCATCGAGGGTTTTCCTGGTCTATTCATTCATTTTAATTCACCAACCTTGATAACGCCTTTACTGAAAGATCCCAATTTATCCTATTCCAACCCCCCAGAACAGAACTTCTTGAGATCTGTGAGAGTGCAGGAATTCTCCTCTAGTCTAGCACTGTCAGATAGGGGAGACCAGGGCTTGTTGTCACACTTTTTACACTCTTATATATTTCTTGGAATCAATACAAAGTATATAAACAAAATGTGTACCAGATGGAAGACCAAAGTCTCAGGTTTATAATTTGTGTTCATGTCATTTTCATATCTTCTGTTAGTGCAGAGTTATAAGCAATCAAATAGAGAGTGTGAACATGTGACATGTCGCCCCACTATCAGGTCAGTTGTCTCACTACGTGGGGTAAGATGTCACAGTGGATTTTGCAGCTAATAAAACAAGGACAAAATTATTATTCTTATTTTTTTACTTGAAAGTGAACATCAAAGCCAGGCACAGAAAATGTTTATCATTGGGCTAGAAAAAGTCATTGAACACAGCCATTGAACAAATGTTAACATAAAATATTATGCAACATGCTCTGGAGTTTGGAGAGTTGTCTGACTCATACGCTAAGGTATGGTAGCTGACAAAAAAGTCCTTTATTTTACTCCAAATTGATTTATTAGCTAGAGTTACCTGTCTGACTGCCCTCAGCATCACCGGGGGGTAGATATGTAAGATATGGGAACTGCACTGACACGCTCTGTTTTTCTTTTGAAATTCCTGACCATGTCTTCTCGCTTTCTCCTCTCCTCTAAACCACTCTTTTCCTGTAAAAATAAAGTAAAAGCTTCAATATGACAACTGCTGATAAACAGACTCTCTGTGTATATTTGAATCCATTTTAAACATGTGACAAAGAACCCCAAAATGACTGAGACATGTTGCCCCAAACTACCAAGCGTGCTAATTAGAGCTCTAGCTTAAAGTTATCTTAAAACAGAACAATGTCTAAGGTATGAGAGGATGCCTTAATCTCTCCTCTAACAAGTCCATATGTTTCACTGCTGGGATTAGAGAGAAGCTTATTTCAAAATATACAAAGGTTTTTACTTTTGGTTGTGCGAGACGGTTATTTGGCGCTCATCTCAGCTTACAATGTGCTCTTCTCTTCTCAGACAGGACATGACCCCTGACCATGTAAAGGAATAAGAATGGTATTCCACTTTTTAGTTGCACTCTCTGGTGGCAAAGATAATTGCAATGTGACAACTTACCCATGTGACAACAAGCCCCGGTCTTCCGGTCTCCCCTACATACACACACACACATGACGCACACACACACACACACACACACACACACACACACACACACACACACACACACACACACACACACACACACACAGTAAAAATATCAGTCAAGTAGGAAACCACCCCAAATTAACATGAAAAATAACAAATTTATTCCTGTGTCCTTATAAAGATGCTTAATTTTACTCTTACTCTGGGATGTCTAACACTTACACTTGACACAAGTCTTCACCTAAAGTGGCAACAGGCTTATGTGGTTTTGGGACAATATTTTATTTTCCCGTCATCAGGACCATTCCTGGCGTCAAGACCAGCATCTGGCTAACCCATGATGAGTTGTGAAACCTGATGTCTTTTTTTAATTAATTAAAGGTGGGGTAGGCAGGATCTGAGAAGTGCCAGTTTTTGGGAAAAATCTCGAATGTAAACACTACCCCTCCCAACCAGTTTTCCCCTCAGCTCCTCCTCTCCCCTCCCTCTCTGCTCCAGCAAGCCTCGCCCACAAACAGACGCTCTCGCTCGCTTGTATCGTATCAATTAAATTCAGGTATAATGCAGATAAATACTTCAGATAATTACAAATGGGGCCCAGTCAATGTGAAAGTAAACAGCATTGGTGCTACTGTAGATGCCAACAGACTACCAGCAAACACAATGTTTGCAGGACTTCTACAACCAGGATAAAGTGACATAGTCCAGGACCCGAGGTCAACAGTTTAGCGGCGCTACAACACGCAGCAGGTCCCGTTTGACAAGAAACACTTCTGTTACAGACACTTGGCTTACTTTGTTATAGCGGTTTACCTGTCCAGCAGAAAGGTTACAGGGTCCGTAAAATCCCAAAGCGTCCCCCAGCATTGATGTTGACCCGGCTTTTTAGCTCGTGTTCTGTCTACCTCCTTTTTAAGTGCTTGTTTTTCCACCAGAGTCTCTGTATTTACTTTGTTTTCCCGCTTGCTTTGGTTGTTGTGGCCAAAGGAGGATTCAGACAATTTTCTGTACTTTCTGGTTGGTTGTTTTCTACGTCCCATATTGTCGCACACTAACAGAAACTGATTGCAGTTGCTGTTTTGCATCTATATATTTAGCACGTTTTAAAGGCACGTGCAAACTGGCACAGCATTATTCATGGTCATTGTGAGGAGAAGGAGGCAGAAGTGCAATGAAAGATGATGGAGAGTCAAAGTCTTCTGTGCATGTGTCAACATATTTGGACTGTCAGAAATAAAAAATAGTTGAGTAATAGTAATAGTAATGATTTTCCTACGTCTGACGGTTTTATAAAAAAAGTCAAACACGGAACACATGAAAAAAAAATATCTGTCATTGATTTTAAATTGTTTTAATCTGTTTTCTGATTTCTAAAATAGTTTCTTGCATCTATAAAGCACTTTGAATTGACTTGTGTATGAATGGTGCGATACAAATAAACTTGCCCTGCTTGCCTTTTATGCAGTTCCCTAAAACGATATGTGCAACTCCATGGCTTCAAACTTCATTTTTCATCAAAGATCACTCTGCTCTCACAAACTTTCCATGGTGACGGCTAATAGCGCATGCAAAATCCTTGTTTAAAAAAAACCATTCAGGATCCGTCTTGAGAGCGTTCCAGCGACATAGTGCAGCCCCAGTCAGTGAGGAAAAGAAGAAAAAGAGGAAACAATGTGCTCACAACAGGTTGTTTTGCCTTTCTGTGGTTGATTTCCTGCTAATTTGGATAACCAAATCCCCAGAACTACTTTTCCTTTATACTATGTAAAGACAGAGTCCGGTTTGAGAGCTGACATGGTAGCAAGCCTGTGAATTACTTCACCATAATCCAAGACAAGTAAAACACTGCTTCAATAAACTTCGGAAAACTGCCTCCTACTCAGCAACTCAAAGACAGAGGAAATTATCACAGACTGTCTTAACTGTTTTATAACTTCTCAATTGTTTTCTGTCTTCACAGGTTTTGTAGATGTGATTGCTTGGCCAATAACCAAATATCTGACGGTATCACGATCCTGGCTCCCTAGCCTTAGTCCAGGAGAAATCCACTATTTTGGCCAGATTCCTGCTCTCAATGACTGCGTTTACAGATACATGTACAAATCCAAGTACATAGTCCTGATTGATGTTGATGAGCTCATACTACCCCAGACAGTAAACAGGTAACACCAAATAAATGAGACAAGATATGTAAGATATGTATGCCTTTGTCCCTGAGAAAAATTAGTTGGTTTCCATGAAAATGTGTGATGTTTTAGAGTTTATATACAATCCATCCATTAACATTTGCATTTCATTCAAGCTTGTGTGTAAAATTACTGAATATATCTACATGCAATGTGCCTCCTTTCAAGTAGGAGCTCCTGATTGACTTTTCACATCAAATACCAAAACAATTTACCACCAAGTTAGCGTTGGCACTGAAAGCCCCAGCAGATGGCACTATTTGGGCCCATGTAGGTACACCCTGCATGTGCAGATTCATCCTAATTTTATTTTTATTTTTTTTTGTGGAAGCATATGATAGCAGAAGTTACAGGGAGTTTTAATCACAGAACCATATGACCCTTGAATTAAAACTTGAGGGTCCTCCACACCACAAATCAAAAAAAAAAAAAAAAAAATCCCAGGTCCTCACTTAGGCTTTACTGTTTAGGGGACTACAATTCCTAAATCCCAAATGCTCTCTAATGGTTCTTTCTTTTGTCTGGGACTTTTTGCTTTCCATAATATTCTTAATGGCGCTTGGCATGAAGAGCATTGAGTGACCATAAACAAATTTGTGACAAAATGCACTAAATGTGCGATGGAGAAAATGTAAAACCAGTGTATTCTTATTCATTCTTTCTCTAGTTTGTGGGAACTGTTGCCACTGCTGGAACGTGAACATGGCGTAGACGAGTGTTACAGGATCCGTAATACTGTGTTTCCCAAGAATATCGAGCTGCCTCTTCCCTCCAACAAAACACTTCCCCCTCATAGCCACTGGCACAAAGTTCCTGGTGTGAACATCCTGGCTCACCTCTACCGAGTCCCTGATCATCCCTCCACTGAATATCCTCAAAGGAAGTTCATTGTCAACCCTCGAGTTGTATTTTCAACATCTGTGCACCAGCTGGTGAATCCACACAGCATCTGCAAAGAGGTCGACGCCAAATTAGCACGATTGTGCCATACAAGGTGAGCTTATGGTTTTGTCCTTCCTATTTTTTTTTTTTTTTGGTGCTTAACAAATTCTTTTATTGTTGACCAACAATCATTAGCCTTTAAAACTCAACAGAAATACCAGTAAATATCGTCCTTTAAATATATGAAATAATTAGAGTAAGAAGAATAAGAAGAACTTTATTGATCTCCGAAGGGAAATTCAATTGTCTGTTGTCTCACGTAATATGTCTATAAAAGTTATCTATTATTTACATAAGAGTTATAAAGCCTGATGGCTGTTGGTACAAAAGATCTTCTAAATCTTTCTGTCCTGCAGCGAAGAGAGAGGAGCCGTCCACCACCATTTGCCCTTTGGTCCATCAAGGTGTTGTGTAGTGGGTGATCCATGTTCTTGAGAATAGTCTCCACTTTCCTCAGTGTAGATCTCTCCACCACATCATCCACTGAGTCCAACTTGAGTCCTACAACAGAGACAGCCTTTTTCACCAGTTTGTTAAGACGTCTTGCATCTTTGTGTTTGATGCTTCCTCCCCAGCAGACTGCAGCGTAGAACAGCACACTTGCCACCACAGACTGATAAAACATCTGCAGCATCTTACTACAGATGTCTATTGATCAGAGTCTTCTCAGGCAAAAGAGGCGGCTCTGCCCCTTTCTGTAGATGTAGTCTATATTCTTAGACCAGTCCAACTTATTATCCAGATGTACACCTAGGTATTTATATGATGTCACCACTTCGATGTCCACTCCACAGGTGTTCACTGGTTGAAGAGGGGGTGTGGATCTACGAAAGTCTATGACCATCTCCTTTGTCTTTGAAGTGTTGAGGAGGAGGCAGTTTTTGTGACTCCAGTCACTAGCTGCGTTTCCATTACCCATAGATTTGCGCAAAACGTAAATATCGCAATAGAAAACTGGTAATGGAAACACCTACATTTCGAAAAACCTCCCAAATATCGCTAAAAAGTTTTTACGCTCTCATGAGGTGGTTTTTCAGAAGTGTCGATATAGAAGTATATCGCAAAAGTGTAATGGAAACGCTTTTCTCGCAATTCTCTGTCACCGGACGTGATGTAGCGGGTCAAGTGACCAGTTCATTTCAAGCGTAGATGGAACGGTATATGTGGACGGGAGAGGAGACGGACTTATTTCTGAAGTTTTGAATTGTATTTGTATTTTTCTGAAGTTTTGAATCCACAATTCGTCTGTGAATTCCTCATTAACGATCCTCTCGCAGAAATCCCTCATCCGTGTTCGCTACCATACATACGAGCTTTGCCTTTGAATTATCACCCGCTGCCTTCGTCTTCTGATGACAGCAGCGGCAACAGCAGTAATGGTCACAGAAATAGCTGCTCCAAAACGAAAAATGTTTTGTGTCTCGTCCATGTTGGTGTGCAAAAAGGCTTAAGGAATACGAGGTCGCACGGGCAGGAAGTTTACCTTGTTGCTAGGCAACGGCCATTTAAACACGGCTCGCGAGAGGCAGACGGCTCGCTTATGCACTGAACACCATTCAATGGAAACACCCGCAAATCGCAATTGTACTTTGTCGAAATTTGATAAACATCGCTTTTATTTTGCGAAAAAATGTAATGGAAACGCAGCTTCTGAGGGCTCTTCTAAGATCTCTGTATTCAGCTTCTTGTCCATTTCTGATACATGCCACAATAGCGGTGTCATCTGAGTATTTCTGGATGTGGCAGGACTCAGTGCTGTATTTGAAGTCTGACGTGTACAGTGTGAACAGGAATGGCGCCAGCACAGTCCCTTGTGGAGCCCCTGTACTGCTCATTAATGTCCCAGAAACACAGTTCCCCAGCCTGACAAACTGTGGCCTTCCTGTCAGGTAACCTGCGATCCAGGAAACACAGGAAGGATCCACTCCCATCTCTGTGAGCTTGTCTTTGAGTATGGTGAGTTGGATGGTGTTGAATGCACTTGAAAAGTCGAAGAACATGATCCTCACATAAACCACAGGTTCCTCCAGATGAGACAGGGCACAGTGAAGCATGTAGAGGACAGCATCATCTACTCCAATGTGTTCTTTGTATGCAAACTGCAGGGAATCCAGTTTGTCTTTGACCTCAGACTTCAGAAGGCGTAGAATCAGCCGCTCCAGGGTTTTCATGATGTGTGAAGTGAGGGTCACTGGTCTGTAGTCATTGAGTTCAGCAGGAAATTTTGTTTTTGGTACTGGCACAATGCAGGATGTTTTCCACAGAGCAGGTACCCGCCCCAGCTGTAGACTCAGGTTGAAGATCTTGCGGAGAGGTTGACACAGTCTCTAAGCAGCCTTGGACACACACCATCAGGACCAGCTGCTTTCCCAAGACAAAGTCTTTGAAGCTCCATCCTCACCCCTGTTTTGGTGACAGACAAGGACTGGTGTTCTAGGAGGGAGGCAGTTGAAGTGGTTGAGACATTTGAATGAGATGGAGGAGGAAGGGGAGAAGTTGTAGTGGTGATTTGTTGCGGAGAGGGAGGTGGAATAGCAGTGGAAGTGGAAGTGACAGCAGTGTCAAATCTGCTAGAAGAACAGGTTGAGTTCATCAGCTCTTTTCACATCACCCACCACTGGCTGTCTTTTCTTTTGACTGCTGTGTCCAGAGATGGTACTGATTCTTCTCCACACCTAACAGATGTTGCTGTGTTGTAGATTATTCTCTATCCTCTTTTTGTACTCCAGCTTTGCCATTTTCAGTCTCCTCTTCAACTCTTGTTGCACTTGTTTGAGTCGTTCTTTGTCACCATCTTTAAAAGCTTTCTCTTTCTGGTAAAGGATTGCTTTTATGTCACTTGTGATCCAGGGTTTGTTGTTGGGGAAGCAGCGAACAGTCTTTGTCGGTATAACTGTGTGTCTACAGAAGTTGACATAATCAGTAAAGCAGTGAACCTGTTTATCAATGTTCATACTATCCACATCTGTTTCCGGCAGCACATTCTGGTCTGTTGATTTAAAACAGTCCCTTAGAGCTTCACTGGCTTGAGGTGTCCATCTTCTGATTTTGACTTTGGTCACAGGCTGCCTCAGTACACAAGGTCTGTAACAGGTTTGCAGATAGACCAAGTTATGATCTGACTTGCCCGGTGGTGGTATGGCAGTGGCTCTGTAGGCTTCTTTGACGTTGGCATACAGCAGATCCAGGGTTTTGTTTTCTCTGGTAGGACAGTTGACAAACTGTGTGAATCCAGTCAAGTGAGAGGAGAGGGTGACATGGTTGAAGTCTCCTGATATTATTATTAGTGCCGCAGGGTGTTGAGTCTGTAGCCTGGCAATGCTATTTTGCAAAACATCGCAACATTCTTTAGTTGATTTGGGTGGGATGTAAACAAACTACTGTTATGATATGACTAAATTCTCATGGAACATAATATGGCCGAAGAGCAACTGCCAACAGTTCAATATCTGGACAACATAACTTCTCCTTGACAGTTATGTGTGAAGGGTTACAACATCTCTGGTTGACAAATAAAGCCAGACCTCCTCCTTTCTTCTTGCCACTAGCTTGAGCATCTCTATCTGACCTTATGAGAGTGGAGCCAGGTAGATCCATACTGGAGTCTGAGTTGTTTTGATTCAACCAGGTTTCAGTAAAACACAGGAAACTGCACTCATGGTATGCTGTCTCAGTCTTCACCAATATCTCCAGCTCATCACTTTTGTTGGGCAGAGAGTTGATGTTTCCCATGATGATTGATGGAAGAAAGGGTTTATATCTCCACCTCCTAGCATTCAGCTTTGCCTTCACCTTTGCACCAGCACAGCAACCACGAAAAAAACACCTCCAGATGTCCTTTGGAATTGTATGTTTTTGCCCATATTTGCTTTTCCTCAATGAAAGGAGCTCTTCTCTTGAGTAAACTCTTCGCCCAGCAGAAGTATCCATCAGCAGCCAACAAAATTACAACAAAAATATGAAAAAAATCTAGCATAAATTACAAAAATTACAGATAATACAGAGAGACCAGACTTGCAGCAACCTCTCGGTTCAAGCACATCATTTGAATGAATGGATCCCAGCAAACATGCTCATTAACTTATTTCATTCCTGAAAAAAAGTAGCTGTAGTATTGAAAGTTTGTACAATATTTATCTTTATACCAGACAGACATAGTAGTTTTTTGCGGAAAAAAAAAATGCTGTTACCATTTGGTTCAAAAACAATACATATAAAAATGCTTAGGGGACTAGATTCAAGCTTTATTTTGAAATAAAAAGGTCAGACATACAGCTTCATGTCAACAGGTGAGAGAGCATGAAGGAGGCTCTTTACCTCAACCATATCGTCCTTAATATTTGGAGACTACTTGACCTAACTTGTGTATCTTTTGGAGAACACACATGCAAAGAAAAAACATTAACTCCAGTCAGACTATGGGTTTCACTTCTTAAACAATCTTGCCTTTAGGCTACACTGTTTACCTCTGCACTAATGAGTCACCACTGCTGACAGATTCAGTATCTCATATGATTGCTTCTTTTGTCTCTCTTGAGCTGTCCTGTCCAACAAAATCTAAAAATGATTTGAAAAAGGAGCTCTCCATGTGTGTCAGTTCTGATATTCATGTTCACCTCAAAGACTGTAAAGTTATGGCCCCGCTCAGAGTCTCTTTAAATCCTCCTGTCTTGCATTTGTCACTTTTAACCCTTTTTTAAAGTTTTCAGAGCTCATACTAACTGAAGAGATTACTATTATGACTATACAGATGGGAAGCCATAATATTTTTCACTGCAGCTTTTAACAATTTAGCTCATCTTGATTCTGATTTTTATTTTCAATACCTGCCTCATCTCTGTCTGTCCTGCAGAAAATCACAAAGTGATCCTGACCAGCTTGTTTTTGATGGACGACTGCTGAACTATAGCGCCCAGCTCATCTCTGCAGTCAATACAGTTCTCATGGAGAGTGGACTCATGCCAACCACAGATTAGTGATGCCACTTTTGGAAAGTGAAAACATTTCTTTTGTGATAATCAAAAAGACATGTTGAAGAATAAAAATCCTTTTTTTTTTTTTTAAATTTAACAACAAAACAGAGTGACAACAACAGAAACAACAACAACAACAACAAAAAGATGAAAAATAAAAAATTTACAAAAATACTTTTGTGAGGGAGGGGAGGGGGAAGGAATTTATATAATATGTAAAAGAGAATTTAAAAAGAAAAGAAAAAAATCTTAATTGGATTACACTGGAATATCTATATAATAATAATTATATGTATACATATACATACACATACAAACATACATGCACACATACATACACACATATACATAAATATACACATATTTAACCACACACACACAATCCCCCCGAATCACCGACACAACAGCGACGATACAACAACAACAATAGCATTAGCAATAACAACACCAGAAATACCGGCGACAGCAATGACAGCAAACAAATGACCGCAACGACGCTAACAATAATGACAGTCATACTAATGAAGATATGGAACAACAAAAGCCACCACAATCCACAACACTATAGCCCGGGCCAGAGGCCGGCCCGGCCCCCCGCACCACCCAAAAAGCAGGCCGACCAGCACTCACGTCCACCGTGGTGGGACGCCTGCGGGGCACCCCACAGGGCCCCGCCCCGCGGCCACCCGCCAACCAAACTGACCACCCACTCCACCTCTAAATACCTCTAAATACCCCGGGCCGCACATGGCTCTCCTCTTGTGTTATGTTCATGTGGTGCATTAAAAACTTCACTGTGATGTATGCATTAAAAAGTGGGGTGTGAAGGGTCGGTGTGTGATGCATTAAAAGTCGGAGAGGCATGTGACATGGAACTGGCCCGGGGCCAAAAAAAGGAAACTGGGGCAGAGTGGGGCCAAAAAGGGGCGAGGGACGTGGCCCGCGGCCCACACAGGATCCCCACATTTTGTGCCCACCGGGCCCAGGCAGGTGGGCGAGCCAATCCCAGGACACCGGGGAACCATGGGCACCAGCCAGCCCACCCTCCGACGGCACAGGGACCCGAGCCCACCCCCAGCCCAGACCACACCGCCGCACACCACAACGATCCCTGCCATTCCACATCCCCACAGCAATCGCCACCCCCCTGCCATTACCATCATCATCATCACGATCACCAATCCACCATCACCACCACCACCGGCACACCACTACCGTCACCACCAACACCATCATCATCATTACACCATCACCGCTACATCAATGACCCGGGGGGACCATACATACACACCATACCATACACACACACATATACATATGCACATTTTCTTTTTTTTTTCCCTCTCTTTCCCTTTCCCTCTTCATTCCCCTCCCCTTAATGTGTTTTATTGAGTGTGGTGTGTGTATGCATGTGTGTCTGTGTGTGTGTGCGTGTGTATTCAAAACATGTGTAGGGATGTTATTGATAGAATGCATAGATTTATGTATAATTGACCAAGTAAATATAACACAATGACATAAAATAGAGGACAGAGAAGTAAAAAAGCAGCAGCTTTTAGCGAGCTAGCTTTAACAGCCCTTTAAAGGAAGATTAGGCAATTTTTAAATTTGATTTATTGTGAATCCACAAATAATGCAAGATCTTTTTGTGCCCCTTGAGGTTACTAGTTAATTGAACATGAATATGTTATAATAAGAACAATTCTTCAATTTTTTCTGTTCAGTTCTGCAACTTAAAATCCACAAATAATGGTATCCTTTGAAATGAAAGCATAGTTTTAATGCACGCAATAGAGAAACCAAAACACAAGACTAGTTTCAGTTGAAGAACTGGTGACATGGACTGATCAAGTGCTTCAGTGAAATAAATGAATGCATTAATGATGATAAATGATAATTGTAAAAACTTTGATGTAACTCCGACTGTAATGGTGCCATCGAAATTTGTCATCATTTTATCTACTAATACAAGTGACTAAGGAAACAAAGACATGGCAGCTCAGCTCTTGGTTTTTGGTGGAGCAGGTTGATGAGCTAAATGGCCTTAATGACTGAAAACCAGCCTTAAGGGGATTCTTCTGTCAACTGGTTCAACTGGTTCAATTTCCTGCCTCTTTCTACAGGCGCCTCCTCCATAGATTTCCCAATACCTCTGGCACCTCACGTGCGACTACGTGCACACACACAGTGACACAACGGCACACATTCACACGGACAAGTTTCTCATATTATTTTGTTCATCTGTTCAGAGTAAGCCAGTGGTTAAATCAATACACTGTTTGTGTACAACTGTGTGTTTGTGTGTGTGTGTGCACTTGTATGTGTTTATGGGTTAGCGCAGGAAGAAGGACCCGGCAGTGAGGGAGACCACTGTTACATCTATCAGACTGTGGGTGTGTCTTGGTGTGTGTTGCAGAAAAATGCCAATAAGACCAGACCACCATGGTGTGCACCACTGTAGTAGGACACACACACTGACCTCTAAAGGACATTTTCATGGATCTGTAATAGGATTCACAGCTGTATACACACACACGCGTGCGCGCACATGCACACGCGCGCACACACACACACACACACACACACACACACACACACACACACACACACACACACACACACCTGTGACCTTTTATAAATCAAACACTACGAGACTAGCCACAAAATACCAATATATTTTTACAAATGTGCATCTTTGAATTATGTTCAACAGATTTAAAGAGCAACTTTGACTATTTAGAGTTTTGACTAAATATTCCACTATCACAACAGTGTGACTGATGATCATCACTGTGGTTATGCCTCCCATCTTTTTCAGATCTGAGTGATCAGACTGAAAGTTACAAGCCTAAAAACTCAAGGTGTGGACACTGATCAATGCTGACTTCAAGTTCTGGAGCTGGTAATGTTAGGGGATGAAAATAAATGATTGAAATGACCAAAAATTTATATTGCCTTTTGCTCATTTTTCGATGCTTTAAGCTATATCATACTGGAGACTGAGATACTGTATAAAATATCAACCTTACAGTTGTTTTCAGCCATTTTTCTTCGGCCACTTCTTACTTGGCTTATTTTAAGCAAGGGTGTGATATTTCAAAGTGAAATATTCAGTAGTAATTATAACGAGAGGCCTTAAAGATTCTGTTTAAAAGCTATGGCAAGCCTCTTTACAGTTGCACCTACACCCTAAAACAATCTTTACTCTTAGCTAGTAAAAACACCAAAGTATGAACAGGCTAGAGTCATTAGCAAACTGCTTGACCTGTCAAAAGCAACAATTTGCCTCAGTTACCTTAAGTGATAAATTGGCATAATCGTCTCTCAAAGACGTTACTAGCTTGGCAGCAGCATCATTAAAAGCTAACTAGCCTCGACTTCCACCTGAGCTGTAGACCAAAGCCTACTCCTACAGCCAGCACCTTCCAGCACAACCAGTTAAAAACATGCTAATGTAGCTCAAAGCAGCCAGACAGGACAGGATCTTTTAATTCAATCAGTCAGACAAACATCAAGAAACATGAATAGACACATGAACAGTGTTAAAACGACATAATCACTCAATGTAAATTCCAGTGGTCTTGACTCTCCACTCAGCAACTCTAGACATCTCAGGTTCATCCCCTACTGTGGTTGCCCCTAATTCAGTACAAGTTTATTAGCATCTGACAGCACTTACAGAAGCGCGTACTGGGCAGGGCTGGGTCTAATAAGGCCTTCCCTTGGTCTGGTACACGCTGCTTTTGTTTAAGGCTTGGACACAGATCTGAACACCAATGTGTGGTGAGGGGGAGAGCATACTGTTTTAATTCCTGCCAATTAATGCTGCTGCTGGCTGCTAAATGAGCTCTGCTGTTTGGCAGGGTTGGTTTCTATAACACTGTTCAACAAGAGTATGCAGACCCACAGTTAAGGACTAGCACATACACACCTTTCCTCAAGGCGTGTTGATACCATCTGGCACTCAGGGAGCAGCAGTTGGATTTGGGTGTGTTTAGGTCCTCTAGATGGCAGTGCTGTATTCTGTATCCTCCTCATCACAAACATTTTAATACAGAGTAGCCCCATAAAGTCTGACTAAGCTTTGTATTAGTTAAAACTTACCACCTGTTGATGAAATATTGTCCCTTTAAAAAAAAGAAAAAGTAGTATATAGTCTTTCAAGGCAATCAAACCTTTGGAATAGCTGCTCCTAACCTGTAGAGCAACTTTTTGGACTTTTTTTTTTCGGTTAAATTCATGTTTTTTTTCCTTTTTTATAAGGGTACTTGCCCATGTTCTCTTTCTCCACCGAAAAGGCAGACATAAAACACAACTGTTATTTCAGGGGAAGATGTTAGACCATGGTAAAAATAAGAGACAAAGTTTAACAAATTGAAAGGGATAATCCAAAATACATTTAAGTTATGGTCAAACACATCGTAACACTGAGTTAGACACCACCTCCAGAGATGAATGTTGCCAACCGCTTGCTTCTCTTGTTATACCAACTTCAGCAATGACCGCACGATGGCAATAGACAGCAGTCTACATCTCCACATGCAAACCTCAACCAAAAAACCACTCTATACCACAAATAATGCTCGGAACAGCACCTAACTTCTTCAACAGTACATAAAGGGTCCCAGCCATAGCACTAGCCATCAAACATCTTTTTAGCTTTGCCTGGTTTCTTTAGCAAAGAGACTAAACACAACTCACCCACTTTCCTCCAGCAGTCGCTTGTTTGTGGGGGAGCCCTGACAAGTCCATCACTGAGTGCAGCAGAGTTTCAGGGCTCAAGGAAGAAAATGGGTGATCATTATTTCATGGAGATGCAATCAGAGTTCTTGTGTATCACATATATGCACTACAGATGCGGTAGTTCTTCTGCCTTAGCGTCTCAATCTGATTGCATCTTCATGAAGTAATAATCAGAAAGTTCCTGCTGCACTCGGTTATCGACTCGTGCTGCTGCAGGAGAGTGGGTGAGTTGTGTTTGGTCTCTTTGCTTAAGAAATCAGGCAAAGTTAAAAAGATGTTTGGTGGCTAGTACTATGGCTGGGACCCTTTATGTATTGTTGATGAAGTTAGGTGCTATTCTGAGCATTGTTTGTGGCTATAGAGTGGCTTTTTGGTTGAGGTTTGTGCGCAGAGATGTAGAGTGTTGTGTATTGCTATTGTGCGGTCGTAACTAAAGTTGGTATAACTAGAGAAGGGAGCGGTTAGCAACATTTATCTCTTGATGGGGAGTGTAACTTGGTCTTGCAGTGTGTTTGACCATGACTTAAATTTGCGCCGGAATATCCCTTTAATAATAAGAACATATCTCCCCTCAGAGTCAGACTTTGACCCTCAGGTGGTGTGAAAAAAGTCCAAGCTGTATTTGAGAAGTTTTATTTTTTCTTTTTTTTCAGCATTTCTTACAACAATACAGACGTCACAGAATACATAGTTTTACAAACACAAAGCACACCACCACCTTGGTTGCTGCTGCTGCTGTCGTAAAGGGAGAGACAGGGGGACGGGGGATGCTGCAGGTTCTGGTGGTTGCCAGTTCAGCCTCGGCCATCCTTCTTTTTGAGAGAGTTTCAAATGTTATAGCGAAAAAGAAGCTGCCCTTCATGGTTGCCATTTTGGGGAGGTTTTTGTAGCATAGTGAAAAACACTTTATTTTGGAGATATGTAGGGGTCAAAGAAAACCTCTCTAGACCATGGTATTACTGCAGATGAAAGAAAGCAGAGGTGGAGGTTGAAAAGAGGAGGCTCAGTTGGACAGTGTTGAAACTTAAGGGCATCTTACTGCGCGTTTGCTGAATCAGAGACTCACCATTCAAAGTAAAAAATAATAATAATAAAAAAAAGGTTCTTTCTTTGCTTTTTTTCATGGTACTCTGCAGAAAAATGACACCACCTAAATTTCAACCATCTAGTCTTGAGTAGTTAATTATTATTTAGATTTTTTATTCCTGTACAATGAAATAAAACTTTGACGGATCTTCAAATGATTTTCTTTTTTTAAAAATACAGAAGGCTATTTTCATTCCAGCCATTTTTTCCCCAAGACATCATTCCCCAACCCTTCCAACTAAAAACAGGACTTTGATATTATATACTTCTGTGTGTCTGCATGTGTTTTCATGTGTATGTGTGAGAACTCTATGTCATTTACACCCAACATTGTAAACATACATAGAACTATATTACATGTGCTTGCACTGCATCTTGGAGGAGGGAAAATTTTGGTTTACTTCACTAGAACACCACAAAAAAGGGACAAAGAGGAAGAAGGGGGCTCATGAGGAGGAGAAGAAGAGGGCGAGGAGGAAGAGGAGTGTCAAACTCCTTTTCAAGGTTGTGAGGTTATTCTCAGTTTGGTTGAAAGCTCAGTTTTAGTTGGGAGGACCTTTTTTTTTTTAATTCTAACCAACAGGAGCATGAAGATAAGTTTCCTCCTCAAAAACAGGGAACAGGTTACAAAAAAAGAACTTTCCTTCGAGTTTTTGATGTACAGCCCGTTCGTCCAGCACCACTGAAATGTCAAAGAAGAGCTAGAGAGGACAAGTAGTCTTTAGAGTCTATATTAAGGAGTTCCTTTCAGCTTCAGCTGCATGAAGCTACCAGGTCTCAGCAGAGCTTAGCTGGGTGTTCAGGGAGAAACCCAAGTTACATGTACAAGGAGTGACGAATGCTGCGAGGGAGAGGACACAAGCCCATTCATCTCTGAGGTTAAAAGTCTCTGTCTGTTCGTTTCATTTTCTGATGTTGGTGAGACAGTGAGCCAGAGAATCAGGGAGTTTTCTCTCAGTTTCCTTAAGTCTTAACATCCTGGAAGAGTCAGTGGATTCTCAAGGGCAGCCGTCTCACCAACTGAGGGTTTTTCTGAGATTTGGAGCTGCCGACCCAGGCCGGGAGAGAGAGGGGAATCATGAAGACCAACATGGAGGGTGTTGAAATCCAAAATTAGAGGAGGGATGGATAGGAGGGACACGGAGGTGCAGGGTGGGAGGAGAGGGTGGATGTGCTCTTTACAAGTAGACACGCCTCAGGTCTCCAGGTGAGGTGATGGTGTTGCACTGTGGGCACAGCTTCTTGTTCCCCTGTGATGGAAAGACAGATGATGGTCAGGTTTGGTGCTTCCAAAACGTGTACAAAAGTGAGAATAAGGTGATTCCTGGGTCACTCTGGAGGACACTGGCCCAGAATTACAGGTGTAAAATAATCCATTCATGTTTTCATGGATATAATAAAGATCTAATGCAGCTTAATCAATGTGCCAATATAAAAACATTTCAAAGAGTTTCTAATCCATTTAGAAAATCTGGCTGTATTTTGACTGACAGACAGCTTCTGCCATAGTTTCCCTAAGGTTGGTAACTTACCCAAACCATTAAAACTCAGTCCAGGGCAAAGATTTAAGAAATTTCACTGTTGCAGTCCAAACTGGTCTGTAGTATGCAGCATATGTGTAACCCTGTTTTGTCTTTGAAGAGTACTAGTACCTGATAGGTGAACCAAAACATGTCCAGTAAGTCCTACTTGTCTCTCCCTCTCTGTGAATGTAAAGCAGCCTCTGTGTTTGCAGCAGAGCCCCGCTCACAGTCCTTCAGCCCTCTCTCCTCTCTCTCTGCACTGCTTTGATAGTGTGCCATCTCCAGTAAAGCAGCAGGTGATAATATGCAGCACGGAGCTGACACTGTAACAACACACTGACTGGGTGGTCTCTGCTGCTGCTGTCCTCCACCTCTGTTGTCTGTTCCTACTGCTCAGCTTGTTCCTCTTCTTTTTGCAAGTGCCAGCACATTCCCACTAACAGATTTCACTGTCTGTGCTGTTTTTGTATTAATTACAGATGTATGAATGAATATAAACAGATTATGTAAGAGCAGGGAAACATCTGGAGTTCACTAGGAGAGGAAGCTGCAGAGGTTGCTTCTTCTTTGTAACGAATGTTCGCAGTTTTATGAGAATAAAAATAATATTTGTCACTTTGTTTTAGCTTTCTTTGTTTAATTTTATGCCGTTGTAAGTATTCAATCTCTAAAACATGTCCAGTTTGGACAACTACTTGTTTTTAGTATCACTAAGGCATGTGGAGACCTACATCAGTCCAGTGAAATGTTTGGCTTGCACCATATGAGAAGATTAATAACAATATTAAAGACTAAAGATGTCCCAATCCAATATTGCTATCGGCCTGATCTAAGCAAAAAAAACAAACAAAAAAAACAAAAAAACAAAGAAAAATATACAAGCAATCCATTCCAGACTCCACTCTGGCACCTCTATAAGCAGCTCCCAGATCCAGCATGCAGAGACCACATAATCACAACAACAGTCGTACTAAGATACTAACAAAGTAGCAAGGAGTAGGAGTGATGTTGGCCATGTGGCAGCATTTTAAGTCCGAAAAAGATGTTGCAGCTGAGTGCAAAACTAGTCATGCACAAGTTTTTGCCAGTACCGGATCAATATCGGTATTGGCGAATACTGAAGGCTACAATATTGGTATTGTATCGGAAGTAAAAAAGTTTTATCGGGACACACCTATGAAGGACATTAGCTAAAAGTCACAGTGTGCAGAGGTGGGTTTATTTGATCTTAAAGAGTAGTGCCGTTAGACTAGTCGACTTTGTCATGGATCCAGCGTGCGCTGTGCATTAAATTGCTTCTCTGGTTGCTATCTTTTTAATAAAATACTGCAACCCAAAATAATATCTTTCTATCCATTTTGTATAGGTCAAAGTTCATTTCTTTAAATATTAAGCTGAAGTTTATTTCATTGGCTCACAAAGGACGTGGTCATTAATCCCAGGTCTCCGCCCCTACGCTACATTATGCTGTATGAGAAAGCATCTCTTGTTTTTAGTTAGAACATTTTTTTAAATGTTAAACGAAGACTTTAGCTTTTTTTCTGCTGCCATATTCATGATTTTTGCTTTTTGTGCACTCCCAGCAGCCAGTAAAAGTGTAGTTCCCTGTCAGAGAAACACAGTGTGGGTGTCAGATATCACACACGTACAACAGAATGCACATTTTTCATAACTGAAGTACAGACAAAATCCTGCCAGTCCAGTACAAATGTACAGGCTCCTCTGACCCCCAAAGATTTATAGGCCTCTTTTCCTGTAAGCCACTGAATAAACTCTTTGCAGCGGGTGCACAGGTTAGGGTAGACTTAAAGGTGAGCACAAACATACATTGAAGAGGATTGGGGTGCTGCAAGAGTTTGACAGATCTCACACACTCCTGCTAAGAGGATTTGTGGCTCCAAAGAACTCAAAACGGTCTCTCCATGGCTCAAGAGAGAATAAAAGAAAAGGAGAGAAGATACTAAAAAACAAAGTAGGAGTAAAAGAAAATTCACCTAAACTGGCCATAACTTTGCAGATAACCAGAGCTGCGCGTGTCACATCTTAATGAAACTCCATGATCTCTGTGTCTACACCTCTGGAATCATCTTTCATGTCTACTCTGTGTGAAGGACACTGCCTGTTGTTTGTTTGCAGCCTGTCAGAGCTGTGTACTTCTGTTTGGTGTGGGCGGTAAGTGTGTGTGGGTGTGTGCCCGTCATG